ACCATTCTAGAAATTAATTATGGTCAGTTAATGGCACCACTTATTCAAGCAGCCAAAACAAAAAAGTAGTTTTTGATAAACCTGTGAAACACCAACTCCTGGCTGATCAAAATGGAAAATTTAATAAATACTAATACTAACTGAAAGCATACTAATTGAAACTAATCTGAAAAAAAAAAGTTAGTCAGTTAGACCTTTCCAACAACTACGACATTAAAGAAATTTGGACATACACTGGACATGATGTGCCGTAACTTTATTGAAATGTATTTCATAGGGTGCATTTTGTATTTTGTGTAATTATACTATATACAGACATATATGTCAAGCTCCATGTTTTGTGTTTTCTATGTTTAATTTTCAAAAATGTAAAAAAATATATAATTATTTGGAGTATTTGGAGATTGCATTCTATTGTTTACATGTGTTAATGAAATTGGTATCAAACCCATCTGATCTGTTTAAAGTTGACAAGAAACCCATACCATATATCACAAGCTTTTTGCAAGGTCATTCTGGCATTACATGGTTCTTTAATATTTGTTTTCATTAGTGTAACAATAACGGCCTGTATTGAAAAGGCCTGTCACGATAAATACTATATAGACTTAACATTCAATACATGACAGATAGAACAATACTTTTTGGGGGTCAGTATTTATTGTGGTACTTTTTCTTTGTACTACTGTGAAAATATTGGTTATTTTTCTGCACTACAATGAGATGTAAGCTCTAGAATGTAGAGAATTATGAACTTCTATGACTCAGTATAACTACTTAATAGTTGCATCCTGTCACTTATTTATTTATTTATTGCAATTCATGTTTTTTAACAATATTGTACATGTAGATTAATATTCTGCATTGTTCCATTTTATCATGTCTGATATCGTCATCTATATTTACTAAAGCAATATATCACACCTCAAAATTTGTTGTGGTGACAGCCTGTATTAAAAATGAAATATATGGGAGAGTTTATTGGCTGTGCATATTTTGGAACGGAACCTCATGGAGTGACAGATGATACAGAGTTGTTGTTTACACCGTTGGAGAGGACACAGGCCTAACACTGATAGGAGCGCAAATAGCCTGAAAGTAAAAGCCTGCAGCTCATCACAGCTCAGTGATTGAGAGCGCTAATACGTCATTGTGTCACAAGCCTTAGTCAACATTTCAATTTCTTTTTAGCAGTTCGGTTTAAAGGTGTCCTATGCTTTACCTGGAATATTCCATAGCACTGCACTAAATTTGTCTATTTTGCATTCATTAATTTCTGTGTTTTATTGCAAAAGAAATATTTAATGCATTCTTACTGTGAGTGAGGTTGCATTTTCACAGATCTGACCTAAAACTCGACTTGCAGATACTTTTATTATTGCCATTTTGTAAAACTTTCCAGGTAAAGCAGGTTACAAAAAAAGGTTCATAGTACAATCTTACTGGGCAAGTTTTGACATGGTTGCACATTATTGGCCTGCAGTCTAACTTAAAAGTCTTATATTACGCAAAACTGACTCTTGTGAGATAAAACCACATTATGATGCTGTTACCTCCTGAAAAACAAACCTGGAATTGTGTTTTGTTTCACTGACACATATTTGAGTAAACCTTTATTAGTCTGTCAGATATAGGTAATTCCAGGACTCAAATCATCCAAATGATTCTAGTAAAGGTTTATGGAGTTTAAAGAGTGGAGCACTTTCTATATTACCACATGACATCACAAGGTGTTTTCTGTTTGAGAAGAACTCCTAAATATGCAGGGTCTGTGTGTTAAATATATGTGAATGAAACAAAACACAGCTCTATGTTTGTGATGAGGAAACCACATTATAACATAGATCCGACAATAGTGTAATACTGGTCCTTTAATAGTTATAACTCAACATTTTTTAACTTGAGGATCAAAATAAACAATTACCAATTATAATAGAAGGCACTAATAATAGACACTGAAAAGATGCCAGTCAAACCAATATTACCATTACAGCACTTGCCTTTGTTGTGTTCCTCTCATCTATATAAACATTTAGCCCAGTCAAGGTGCATGGGTCGCGCTCTGTAATTATCCTGTCCAGTGGTTCGGCTAAATCCAGGAGAAAGTGGCAGTTGAGGGTGAAGAGGGGGCGGTCAGGTCCCTCCGTCCGTGTGATTACAGTCTTTCCTAGCAGACTTTAAAATCCCCATTAAAAAGGTTAGTAAAAGACAACAAGGCGCCCTGAGACATGCCGGTGTGGCTCATTCCGCCTCCTTTACTGCCTGATTAGACGGCTTAATAGCTCATCCTAATGACTTGGCAAATACACCTCCAGCTGTCATTCACACAGACATGTCCTCACTTATTTTAAACCAAGAATGACTCTAGGCCAGGCCAATGTGATGGTGTGAGTAATAAGAGTCTATATAATGGTACTGGTTGACTACTACACCAATGAAGCGTAGCATGATGGCCATTGATTTTCTATTAAAAGATGCAAGATATAACATTTTTGATGAGGGTCTGCCATCTGTGTGTCTCAATAAAGAAGTTTCTGTCTTGAGCATAGTATCTCCATGGAAACAAGCCACCAGGTCAAGTTAAAGCTCTGTGAAGAGGCAAGCCTGTTCACAATAATAATGCATGTTTTTAGCAAAAGCATCCATAATTACCTAAATGCAAGATAGATTACATAATACATTCCAAGCAAACAAATGGAGACAAGCAAATAGTGGATCCCCCACCAGAAAAGTTACATAGTGAATCTTTGAAATTGGTTGCATTTAGAAAGAGTGATTAATGTTAATGAAACCTGCTTGTCTCCATGAAAAGGTTATGGCATTAATTCAATTACAGGTGTTTGATAGCTATGAAAAATATGCATTTTTACTGTGTTCAGGGTCACATCTCCACAGATCTTACCTGGCATCATCTGCTTGTCTCCATGAGAAAGATACTGTGGAACATTCCCACATTCTCCATGGAGCCTACGCTGGAAAAGTGACATAGGGGACCTTTAACTATCAATGTTCTACACATGCTGTGGCGATTGTGCTGTAGGTTGTAGCATATAGTCCTTCAAAACTGTCAATAATTAACAAGTGGTCATAATGTTTTGCTTGATAGTTGAGCGTCCCAGATTGTGCTGGATCTTGGTGTGATATTTACCCTTGTACCATCTTGTGATAGAGGAATGCCTGGCAGGGACAGGCCGACAGCCGCTGTGGCATCCTGGTGGCAGATGCATCATGCAAAGCCAGTCAGTGCTGCCAGGCCCAAAAGGGGTAGAAGAAGAAAAGAGGGACCATGGCCCCTCTGCCAATCAGAGAGTGACAGGCAGACAAACAAAGCTGTGGTGGCGCCCCCCGCAGCCTGAAACATCAAGTAGCCACCCTTTTCATACAACCGCTGCAGGCATGGAGCAGCACTGCCCCTGCCATCTGTTTGGATCTGTCTCAACATATGAGGCTTGTTTGACTGAGAGAGTGCATTCTTCCTGATCACAAATATCAACAGACAACAAGGAGAGAATGAAAACAAGCTACATGTGTGGTCATTCAAACTAATCTGTTAACAAGCAAACACATGATAATAGTTCAAACACCCAGTAATAATTATATTATAACTGGAAACAATAATATAAGTGCTGAATGTTTGTCTTTTTATTGGCTTATTACTGCTGAAGTCAGCAACTACAGCAACTGCTAACATCACTACTTCAACTCTGTAAATACATCTGCTGCCAGCACTGGCATATAGCTACTGTAAGAGAACCAGGAAAACCCAACTACTATGTGTAGCATACGGACTGAATCGTGGCCTCCAGAAAATGTGCTATTCTTCACAGATCATCTGTTTGTTTGTTCTTACAAAGTGGTATTTACTTGAGGTCTTTATGATGTGTACATTGTTTGGTTGAGGGGATTTTTTTAAGGAGTCCTAGTATTACACAGTAGAGGAGATTATTTATAAGCAAACACATGACCATTTTGAACTGAACACAGGATCTCAACTATATGAATAAGAGAAAGTATTTTTATTTATTTTAGATAATATTGTGTACTTTACTTCTTTCGTCTTGTGAAGATGATAAAAATGCTTCGTTTGGAGAGGGACTGTATGTACGAAGCCTGTGTTGACAATGCTCTGATTTTCATACATTGGGTTACTCAAGCTGGAGGAATGCGCAGCCTGGTGTGAGTGAGAGGCAGGCAGGTTCAGAACAACTTGTCTTGGATCACATGGTCTTAAATGGGATGGTGTGCAAAAACAAGTGCCGGTAAGTCACATGGGGGAGATTTACAATATCTCAGTCTGAGTGAGTATGGTCCCTTTACAATATTGGTTTAGTAGGGTTAGAATTTACAATAAAAACGACTGAATTATACACAAGTAGAAAATGCTAATCACTTATGTTTCTACTATTACAATTTCTAATCCCTGATAGCAGTGGTTCATTCCTTAATTTCTTAGAGGGCTCAGATATAAATTGTGTGCCATATGCCCTTCCTCACCACTCTACTCCCATAGCATCTGCACTCAGAGATGGGTATATAAGGATTGTACTGGCTTATGACTAGACTTCTAAATATTTGTTTTATTAGGCCTACAACAAATGACACAAACAGTCGTCATAAATCCCAACTACTCACACTCTCTTTATTTGAAACGTGTAGAATATTTATAGTATATTATTGTTATTATTATTTAATTAATTATCCTCTAAAATAACATCTATGACGCTGGCCATCTCATGAGTGGCATTTGTATGGTTGGGAGGCGTGGTTTAGTCACTTACAACAACGTGACCTACATTCCAGTGACAATTATGAGCTGCCTGATTATAAAGTGGAAACAGAATAACTGGTTCTCTGTGTTAACGGGGAATTCTGGGGCTGGAATTGATTTTTTCTGTTTGGCAACACTACGTAAAAACCTGGTAGTGATTTCTTCAGATTCTTCAGACATTCTCTTTAGTAAGTCATCCAACCAGTTTTAAAAGAAGTCACAAATGACTTACCTGCTATGTCCCACAGTTGTAATCTCACGAGCGTCTTGCTGTCCCAGTTTATGACTTTAAGTGCAAAGTCGACCCCGATGGTGGCTCTGTAGTGCTGTGAGAAGAGCTGGTGCACGTAGCGTTTAATGATGCTGGTTTTGCCCACGCCTAATTCCCCGATGACAAGGACTTTAAACAAGTACTCCTTACACTCGGATACAGAGCCCCCGGCCATGATGCGTCTACTTCTGCCTTTTCCACGCTTTTTAACACTGACAAACTTTCTTTACGACACACGCTCGCTTCTGCTTTCGTTAACATAAGCTTTCTCTTGGATAGCGGTGTCCCCCGTGCGTCACCGGCGCGTCTCGAGACCTGGACTGGTCATACCAAACTGTGGCGAGCGTGCAACAAGTTACATCGGAGCGGTGTCTGCCCTCTTTTCTCCTCCTCCTCCTCCTCCTTCTGCCGCCTCTCCAAACCACCTGATAAGTCATAAGACCCGGAAATGTGCGTTCAAGTGCCGAACACAGCAAACTCTCCTGCTGCGAGATTTGTGAACTTTTTAGTCACATAAATACACTTTTATCAGGAGAGGATACGAACAATAGGACATCTCTGCCTAAAGGCCCCGTTGGGATTTGGGGAGGGGAGGGTGAATTGACAAGTCACTGAGTCACAGACCTTGAATGCAGACATGCTAAGGGCTGTAGTGAATAAAACCAAATATTTGGGCATATAGAAGAATTACTAAAATGTCAATTTCAACCGATAAAGCCTTAAAAATCCTGCTATACCTAGTAATAGAACAAGTGTGTGAGTTTTTTTAGCAGTTTTTTTTTTTTATCTAAATTGATCTCAGTGTTGCTGTTGTAGGAAAGCAAGACTCTTCTTAATACAAATAGTTTTATTTGTACACATTGTTCAACTCGCTCAAACATAAAGGCCAATTTCATTTGTATTTCTTGACAGTGTTTAACAGGTGGCACCCTTTTACACTTCACTTAAAATAATAAACTAACTTACACTATAAGACTTAAATATTAGAAAATACAATACAATGGCACTAAGTACTGCATATTCTGGTACTCTGAAATCATTCTTATAGAGAAGGAACTAAGAAACTTAACTTCAAGTAAACTACTTAGGCTCATAATGCAATGTAAAATCTCTATACAAGAAGCAACTGATCATTGGTTAACTTTACAACTGAATATTAGAGTTACAGTCATGTTAGTGTAAAAATTATATTCAAAAACCAAACACACATCTTCTCAACAACAATCAGGACAGTATAAATTTTGCCATTCTAAATATATAAACATTTATCAGTATTAGAAACATACCACCTGTGTGAAAAACAATAGATGGCTTATACAAACTTGTACACAAAGTACTGTGTTTTCCATTACAATGACTCAACATGAGAAATATCAACATGGCAGGGGACGTCAAAGTAGATCTTTTATCAAGTCCCAGAGCTCGTAAAAGTTTGCCCTCCTCAGGTTATGATTGAGTGTAAACGCAATGCTATCTATAGTCACCCTAACCTAAATCAGCTACATTATAAAAATGGTAGCAGGGTTAAGTTGATAAATAACAACTTTGATTGGCACGTTATGAATATCTGAATACAGCGCACATTTTCAGTAGAATCTCAGTCATTTTGTAACACATAAAAGTATAAAAACAAATAACTTACTGCACCTTTTAAATCAATGTACAAACCGAATTTAGAGCTAACTGGTGCATTGTGTAAAATGGTTTGATAATTTCATTACATTAGATGGTTAATAGACATTTCCAACACCCTGGTGTTTTCTGCTGGGGCGCTAAAACAATTTTTCAAAGGGAATAAAAATTTTGATATTTCTCCTGTTTTCAATCTAATATTTAAAGACAAAATGCAAAGTTAAACAAAAAATAGATAATCAATGAACAAAACATAATTAGGTTAAAAAAAAAAAAAAAAAAAAAAAAAGGCTGCTTTGTTATTAAAATATCTTTTGCCTGGGATCCAGGATAGACACTTCTTCTATATTTCCATGTGTGTCCATGATTGACAGGTGAAGTAGTCAATCAGGGACACACATGGTCCGTCCGTATTAAAGAAAGTAATGGAAAAAAATCCCAGGGGACTTTGTGGATTTCTGCAAAATCAATAATCAAAACATTAAATCATAAAAAGCAGAAGTAAATCATAGGTGTCCAATGAGCTAAAAAAAAAAAAAAAAATCTAATCTGATTGCACAATCCCGTTTGATGAGGCTTGAGATGCGATGGGAGGACCAGACTGATATCAATCTGCATAAAAAATACAGAGAGATATCAGTCTGGATTTCCAGTCAAAAAGATCATAGGTATAAGTCTCTAAATTTAATACAATTTCACTAATATTTGCCTTTTTTGTAGTAACATTTTACACAATGCACCATCCTCATTTGGTTTGCATCTCTTATCATGATAGCAAAACTGAGCTGAAGTAATAAAAAGGCAGGAGGAGAATCCAGCGTCCATGTCGAGCAGCAAACATGATTTAATCACATCTGGCATGAAACGTGGTTAGCCAGTGTTTTACAGTGCGTTCACAGTCAGTTCACTCACCAGTTTTTTCTGCTCCTCCTATAGCCTCAATAAAACAACCACTACATCCCTTTTCATGATTCCTTTCTTTTAAAAACATTTTGGCACTATAGTCATGAAGCTTTGTACAAGAAGGCTATGCATATCATCAGCCCTTGGGGAACCAGATGATTCTTACTCATATTTCGATACCATTAAAAGCAAAAATACAAGCAAAAGCAGATCAGTTAAATCAATGAGTGTTCACTGTAGTTTTGCTCTCACAGTGTAGAGGAGCTATGTGCAAAGTCTCGTAGTATGTCGGCTGTGTAGATGGAGCTGGGGGGGCTGCCGCTGCCCGAGTCCTCTGAACAAATAGAGTCTCTGAAAGGGGAGGGGGGAGACAGGGCCAGGGACTCCTCCAGACCTGCTTTGTGAGGAAGTAAACCATCTTCCTCCCCCGCCTCCTCCTCTACCTCCTCCTGCTGTCCCTTGTAAATGTAGCTGTGCAATAAGTCCAGATTCTCCTCCGCGGCGCCCCCTGTAGAAAGCCGTGAGGGGGTCAGGCTCAAAGGCTCGTTGGTAGACTTGGATTCAATAGTGGGGTGGTCGTTTAGTGATGGGACATGGGAAATATGGGTGTCCACTAACCCCGCTGCAGTCGGACATCCCAAATGAGAATCCTGCTTTTGTCCCGAGCAAGTGGGGGTCCAAAATGGCCGCTGCATGCTGTCCTCAGTGTTCTCTTCCGCCACATTGTGCAGGGGTGGCTTTTGGGTGCCTCCAGGTGGGTCCGGGGGGGTATGGGTGTCTGTGCCAAGGTCGGCCGTGGGAGGGTCACAGCTGTGGGGGTCGGGGGTGTTAGTTAGGGGCCTGATGACCGCCGTCTGATTCAGGCCGGCTTCCTGTTTCCTCACATGCACAGACAGTCTGTGCCACACACTCCCCCCCTTCGGAGGGTGTCTTGGACCTGATTCAGACCATGACACAGACTTGCCATTAGAACTATGAATACAGAGACAAAGACCCAAAGTTACTGTCAGGAAACCAGCAGGGGGCACAAGACAACATCAACAAGAAAGCAAGACAACAGAGCAGAACAAACAAGGAGCGTTTTACATCCCTGTGTGTTTACACTGTCAACAACAGGACATGATGGTGGGGTAATAATGGGGTCCAATTTTTTATTCTGTAGTCTGGCAGTAGGAGCAATAACAAAACAGCACTAGAATGGCTGGTAATTGTTACGCATGGTAACAAATTTATGTATAACAAATGCCATGAAAGTGGATGATAAAATCTATCTTTTTACTATTGCATGAGAATTTTCAAACAATATATAGCCCTTCGTCAATAGTGAGATAAAACTTGTGAGCTAAACTATTTGTAAATGTCTCAGATGAGGTTCAAGGTATCACACAAAACCTGGATTGTATTATTATCCACTTTACTTTTGTTTTTGGAAGAGTAAACTACAAGTTTTTGTGCAGATTTTTAATCAATCAGCAGTTTTCCCAGCTATTCATAACCATAAAATGGTTATGAATATTATTATAAACCTTTATATAAGATATTATATAAGATATTGAGACATTCACAGTGACTACCATTGCCACTGCTATGATAGTATGTAAGTGGTGTCGTATTAAACTGACACGTTTTAAAAGCAGAAATATGAGCAATCATCAATGGAAATGAAATATGTCAAGTACAACCTAATGGATTACATGGAGTACATTGATTTTGCAGAAGCACTCCATCAATCACTACAATAGCTATGAAAAATATTTGGCTTTAGTACAGCTTTCTAAAGCAAGTGATCCTTCATTCTTAACTGCTACCAGCCAATCAGAGAATGTGCTTGTCGTACACTCCCTTTACCATCCTGCAAACAGAAAATTCCCCTCAGCACTGACATCAATTGGACAAATGATACATAATGTGTGTGCATTATGATCTTCTGACCGCCTCAGACATTGAGCCAACATTGAGCCAGGCCACTGGATTGGATACATGCGAGTATTCCTCTCCCCAACACAAATGATACATTTTATACAGAAGGAGCTGGGACTGGCTCTAATGTGATTAAGTAGGGGGTGGAGGAAAATGGGCGCTCATGCCAGGAGAAGTTAATATGAGGTTAATTCAGGATAAACGGCCTCTTGGAGAACTGCAGTGTCAAGTGCCTTGTACATTCAAATGGCCAGACCTTAAATACAAGTGTGTCCCAAGAGAGTTGGTCCAGAAGGGCATCCAGGATAAAACTGCATCAGTATGCGAGTAAATGGAGATTAGAAGTGAAATAAATAAGCATGTCCATTTGGAAAATGTTTCCAATCACTTCTAAAAAGTCAATGGCTTTAAGTTGAATTAACAAAAGATGTTGTATGGCGAAACACATGAGTGTTTGCAGTTTTATCAGCACAACAGCCGATAACTAATACTTTGAGTAAACTGAGTTGGCACCGCAGCTCTCCAAGAAAATGAGATGGTTTCGCCTTAGGCCTAAACATAGGCAGCCTTGACAATATGGTGCTTTATTGAAACATTTAGAGAGGGTTAGAGAGATTAGGAAGACTGTGTGGCAAGAGTGAGAAAACACAAAAAAGGTCTTTGGGAACGCTGTCAAAGTCTGCCCCACTCCTTACGTTAGCCAGCCACCAGGTATCACGGCTGTGGAGCTCAAGACAGTATTAAAAGTCTTATCTCTTCTACTAGAACCATATTAGCATAGCTTCCTCAGCTGGACTGGCTGGACTAATGGATCAAAACTTGCCTCATAATTGTATTCATAGCCTCAAAATGTATAAATCCTATATGTTTCCATTTCAATTCAAATTTCTATCCATGGGCCATGTATAAACAACACATTCTACATCATTTAGAAGTTTTAAAGCTGTCAATGAAAACTCCAATAAGCATTTCCAAAATAAACTTCAGTATAACAAATTTCATGTTGTAAAAGTGCCTCTCTCTATCTCAGGGTGTTTATGCATGAACCATGTTTGTAACTTGTCAGTAACTGCAGGCGACATGTCACACTCCACACACAAGTAAACAACGCAGTGGATCACTCACTTGGCGTTCCCAGTCACGGGCTTCTTCCTCCTGAACATGTTGAGAAAACTGTTGCTCCCACACTGTGCAGACTTCCCATCTCCAACATGCATCCTCACCACATCAGACGTGGTGAAGGCGCTACGAACATTCCTCTCTGGTTTGGCTATTATAATGTACATTTTGGGGGTGAACATGCAACCCAGGGCAACTGTGACACTGAGGCTGACGGAGAACGATGTGGTTATGATCTTATAATTGGAGCCAAAGTAAATAGGGACAAAAGCCAGCCAGATGATGCAGGTAGTGTACATAGTAAAAGCTATGTATTTCGCCTCATTGAAATTGGCTGGGACGTTGCGTGTCTTGAAGGCGTAGTATGTGCAGCTCATGATTAGCAGGCCATTGTAACCCAGCGGCGCCACCATGCCCAGGTTGCTGGTATTACATATAAGGTAGACCTCACGGATGCTTGGGTAGGATTTGATAGGTTCAGGTGGCTCCAAGATAATAAGTGTGATTTCCAGTGTAAGCTGAACGCTGATTAACATGAAGGCTATTATGACTTGGGCCCAAGCGCTCATAAAACGTGGCTTCCTGGTGCAGATTTTCTTCTTGCTGCCGGCCAAAATACGAGCGATCCGATTGGTTTTGGTCACCAGAGCGGAGTAGCACATAGAGGAGGACAGCCCCACTAGGAGGCGCTGTAGGTAGCATGAGGCAACAGTGGGGCGGGCAATGAGGGTGAAGGGGCAGATGTAGCCAAGGAAGATGCCGGCCAAAATGATGTAACAGAGCTCCCGGCTGGAGGACTTGACCACAGGAGTGTCCCGGTACTGGATGAACACGAAGGTGACGAAGGAGGTGATCAGGATACCCACACAAGAGAAGGCCACCGCAATGATGGACTCAACATCTGCCCAGTCCAGGTATTTGAGAGGGAGGGGCTGGCAACCTGCGGGGAGGAAAACAGATTTTAGATTAAAGCGGGACACCTAACACCTAAACTCTGCCCAAAACAGCATTTCAAATCGAACTTCTTATCTGGGCAGTGCCTGGAGGACTAAAAAAAAAAGAGTGAGGCGGGACGAGGTCTGGACATATGAGCAACAATGTGATTGAACTAAGAGATATCCAGACTTCAAACTCAGCCCCTGCAGCCAGTGTTTCAAAAATACCTGGCTGTAATCAGGGCAGTCCTGGTGATGTCACATAGAACTTGAAAATGCAGTGGTCTGGAGCAAGAACCCACCCACCTGTATACATTTTTTACCACAAAGCTGCAAATTTACCTAGTTTGCTTATATGTTAGTAGCAAAAAAAGTAGATTTATCACTTAATTTAACTTCAAAGTACCAATAAAGCATGAACAGAGACTTAATTCATAATAATCAGAGGCTTAGTTACTACTAAAGGGGTTAGGCCGAGCGTTAGGAGGTATTAATTAAGCTTGAATGTCACGGGTTCATCCAAAATAAATGTAAAGAAATGCTGGCTCAGTTGAAAAAACTTCACTTAAGTGCGTTTTTATTCACACCACAGCCCAGTGTGCAGAGTGCAATATTTACATTGGAAATGATGAAGTAGGGTCCAAAAAAAAAAAGCATTTACAATAATATTTACAGTGATAGCACTTACAGTAAGCCAGCACCCACGTAGTCAGAGACAGACAGACCAAATGACTGGAGTCTCATTCTTAATAAACTATCTGTTCAATTTGAAACCAGTCTGTGTTCATGCTTGATTAAGGTTGTGTAGTTATAATTCAGTGTTACCAGAAATTAAAAAAAAATTTATGTAAAACAACATTTAAACAAACTACACCCAGGCATTGCAATGACAAAGCTGTGCATTTCCCACCTAGCTTTACATTTTCATGTTCTATATTTATCCCGCTCATTTACATATGTCATCATAGAGCTCACAAATCTCCCATGATTCCTCTCTGCCACCGTTATGATATGACATATGTGTGCTAGTATGTGTATGTAGAAAAGTGGGGGATGTGTTAGACTGTAGTTAGTGACACACTTGTTCCCAAACCTGTTAAGGAAGTTAATGAGAATAAAGGGGCATTCCCAGAGCACACATTACTACTCCATAAATTACGTGCCGTGGCTAATGGCATTACAGTCACTAACAGCAAGCCACTGCATGGAAAACCACTAATGTAAATGCAATTCTTCCATAGTGTTTCCTTTTTATACAATAAACACATGAAAATGAAAGTGTACCTAGTTATCCAATTGAATATAGTGTTTAAATAACTAAATTTTAGGTGCACTATGTCCACCATTTGCTTGTCTCTCTTATTTTATGAGATTTTTTGCCCTGGAATGTTCTACAGTATGGTATAAAAACATATTTATTGCATGCATTAATTTACAGATGTTTAAATGGCCAAAAACATTAATTGTTACTGCAAGGGTTGCTTCTCCACAGATCTGGCCTGTAGCTTATCCTTGCATGACCTGCTTGCTCCATTGAGATAAGATAAGTTTTGGAATATTCCAGTCATAAAAATAACATCTCCATACAGACTAGCTGGTGGTGGACCCTCAAACAGAAAAGTAACATAGTGCCTCTTTAATGAAACATAGTAAAAAAAAATGTTACCATATAAAGTGGTACTAGTAGCAACAGTTCTGCAAGAAATGTATTTTTTATGGATTTTTGGGTACTTTCACTCTCAGTTTCACTTCTTGAGTAAAGTACAGATTTATTCCCTGTGAAAAACATACAAACAGTGCCTATAGTTACATACAGTTACATGTAATGAAAGTGAGAGGTGAGCTTCTTCATCAACACACTGACGCAGTGCATTCCCAGCCTCCACGAGCAGTAATAGGATTTTACACCTGGGAACCCAAAGCTCCTCTCAACTCTATAAAGCACTGTCAAAACAAGCAGTGGGTCAGAGCACGGAGGCAGGGAGGCAGCCGAGGAGGAAGTGAACACTTTCAGGGACTAAAGCTGAGGTTATGAATGCAAAGAGGGCAGGGTCACAGGAAGAGGGTGACAAGAGGGGAAAGAGGATGTCAAAATGTGACGCGTAAACAAGCACAGGGTACTGAACGGAAAAGAGCTGTGAATATATTTGCATAGTGTAAAGGGTACAAAGTACACTGGAACGTCTTTATACTGTGTACTTCTTTAAGTGTTAAGTGGCAAATCTTGACTTGTATCTACATTTCACAACAAACTACATATTTAGGCAACATAAAACTCTGGAACCATGGGGTATTTTCATTAAAATTCACATTTTTATACAGCGCTTTTCCACCTTCAAGGAACTCAAAGCACTCACCCATTCCCACACACATTCATACATACTGGAGGCAAGGTGGGTCTTGCCCAAGAACACAACAACAGCATTCATCTGTAGGAGCTGGAATTGCACCACCAACCTGTGGGTCAGTGGGACTGAACTAATGATATTTATGACAAGAATGGGATTTGAACCACCAATTCGAATGCTAATTTCATTTTTTTCATAGTTTTTCATTTTCATAGTTTTATTTAATTAAATGAGATCCAAGACTGAACATAGTCCAAACAAAACAAACTAAATACATACAAAATAATACAACATTTCTGAATATATTTCTGATCGTATTCCCAGGAAAGACACCCACATTGCTACCCTAGTCACAACAAGTGGCTAATTGTAAATTCAGCATTAAAACCAACAAAATTCCCACATAACTGGTTTACAAATAATACATCAATACTAAAAACCCAGTCAATAATTTTATACCTGTTGCAAATCTGTATGCCATGAAACGATTTTGTTCGTCTTACCTGCCAGATCATCGTCCGGCCACCACCCCAGCTCACAAGCTTTGCAGGTGAACTCATCCTGCACTATTTCATTGTCTTTACAAGTGGTGCAAATCCAGCAGCAGCTCACCTCACCCTTACGAATCACCTGCAAAAAGAAAAACAAGATAACACACTGACTGGTTATGGGAAATCTATAACGATAATTCTGTCCTTTCATCCTAAAATCAATGGATGTGGTTTTGTGCAGCATGACATTGTAGTTTACAGTAGACGTTCTGACAAAACAAGCCCAGCTGTTTTATATTCTAATCCTGGGCATGCTTTTAAGGAGCACTGTGATATGTAAAACAGGGTGATAAGTGGGGCACAAAACAAAGAGCAGAGAGAGAGAGGAGAGAGGATACAGAAGGAAGGATACACCCTCCTTCAGGGCGACTTAGTGTACGGGCTATGTCAGACCGGTAAGACTGACCCAGAAGCAACAAAATGGGCCATCCGTACTGAACATATGCAAACTGTGACTTTCCAAGCCTACAACAATATAATAATGCACTAATGAACTGTTATTAAATACAAAAAGCACCATTCTTAATATTCTTAAACAATATTAAAATGTGGATTTTCAAATTGTCACTTTGGCACACCACTAGTACTGCTAAATAGCTTTAGGGCAGCGTTTTCATCCAAAAAAGTGAAGCAGGTGGGATCACCATTCATCTCTTATCTCCAGCTGTCATATAAAGACGCATAGAGCTCTTTCTTACAAATGTGCGAGTGATTAAATGTTTGTTGAAAACAGAGTGATCTGATTTTTGTCACTAAGGTGTGCTTTTACAATTCTTTCTTACTTTCACTTTTACAATTTTTACTTTTACTTCTACTTACTTGTGCTTTTACACTTTTACAATTTTTACTTTTACTTCTACTTACTTGTGCTTTTACACTTTTACACTTTTTACTTTTACTTCTACTTATTTGTGCTTTTACACTTTTACACTTTTTATTAATTAATTCAGGAAAAAAGTTGGGTAATGCAACTTTAAATATACAGTCCAAATCCATTTCGCCCTTATCTGTTATTTAAAATAGCTAAATGCTGTAAGTATTTGCTGTACCTTGATCTGTCCTTTGGAGCAGGGCTCACTGCACACAGAGCGCACCATCTCACTGCTGTTCATCCACAACTTATTGTCATCAACGCTCAAGACTCCCTCATGCCACGAGCCCACTTTAAGGTAGTCATAGCGACCATCCCCCACATTCTGCAGGTTCATGATGTCGTACCTGAAGAGATAAAAACATCTATGACCAAATGTACATATCGTTATATAGCATCACCAATGGTTAATGGTCATTGCTAATGATGAGCACTGTTAAGACCTGCAGTAATGGTATCCACAAAGAACTTTAATATTGTAATATGTATTAATCCAATGCAATCCAATTCACTTTATTTATATAGCACATTTCACAAACAAACCAATGTGCTGCACAAATACATAATAACAACAATAACAGAATGATAAAATAAACGCTCAGATTTAATCATACTAGTCTTAAAATAATAAAACCAGTAAAATAGATTCAAAATAAATAAAATAAATAAAAGACACAGAGGACCACACAACTCATGTGGCGTTAAAAGCCTGAGAGTAAAAATGGGTTTTAAAACACTGTGGGGGCTGGGGACATGGGGGGCAGAGCATTCCAGAGCTTAGGGCCAGCCACAGAAAAAGCCCTGTCCCCCCGTTTTTAAGTCTCGTCTTAGGCACTATGAGCTGGCACTGGCCCTCAGACCTCAGAGCACACGGGGATGTAAATTTGGAGGAGGTCTGAGACGTACAGTCCCTGACAAAAGTCTTGTCGCTTATCCATTTTGTAGAAACAAAAGCTTATAACCTGACTTTAAATTAATCGATTGGTTTTAGAAATGTCTCATATGAAAGCTAAAACCCTCCCAAATTATGCTCAATATACTAAAATAAATTTGCTTCACAGAAGAAAGATTGATCATTTAATGAACACAGAAAGGTCAGATTTTGGCAAGACAAAAGTTTTGTCGCCTACAGAAAATTGAACAAATAATTTACTTCAAATACAAAAATATGTTGCATAACGTCAGTGAATTAAGTAGTGGTGCTGTGAGATCCATATTTAATATCTTGTATGACTTCCATGAGCTTGAAGGACTGCATCCATGCGGTTCAACAGTGATTCATACAATTAGTTGATGAAGTCATCAGGAATAGCAAAGAAAGCGTCTTACATGCCTCCCAGAGTTTATCAAGATTCTTTGGTTTTGCCTTCCATGCTTCCTCTTTCATTCTACCCCAGACATGCTCAATGATGTTCATGTCTGGTGACTGGGCTGGCCAGTCCTGGAGCACCTTGATCTTCTTCGCCTTGAGAAACTTTGATGTAGAGATAGAAGTATGCGATGGAGCACCATCCTGCTGCAAAATTTGAGCCCTTTTATGGTTGGGAATGTAAGAGGAGCTAATACTTCTTGATATTTTAGGCTACTGATATTGCCTTCCACCCTGCAAATGTCTCGCACACCCCCATACTGGATGTAACCCCAGACCATGATTTTTCCGCCACCAAACTTAACTGTTTTCTGGGTGAATCTTGGATCCATGTAGGCTCCAGTAGGTCTCCTACAATATTTGCGGCAGCTGTGATGTATTTCAACCGAGGATTCATCTGAGAAATCCACCTTCTGCCACTTTTCCAGTGTCCATCCTATTAGCAGGCTGTGGGCCTTGGCAAATGCCACACGGTTTTTTAATTGCCTTTTGTTTAGTGCTGGTTTCTGTGCACTGATTCGACCATGGAGGTCATTTCGAGACTGAATTCTACAAACACAGGGACTTGAGGTGACCAGGCCTGGTGGAGTCTGCTGTAGTGGAAAAGGGGCTTGCCTTGGATTTTCGAATCAACAAACGGTCCTCCCGAGCAGTTGTCTTGCAGGGTCTGCCGGACCTGGGCTTGTCAAAAACATCTCCAGTCATTTCAGATCTTTTTCTTATTCTTTGTACTTGACGCTGAGACACATTGAAGGTGTCAGCCACCTCAGCAGTGGATCTGGTCTTCAGCCTCTTGATAATTAACGCTTTGGTCTCAGGGTGGATCTTAGGCATGTTGTCAGAGGTCAAGTTGCAGTTGACGTGAAGGTCTGGTGTGCTGGGGTTCTTTTTATATACACCCACTAATTCTCAGTAACTGATCACAGGTGAGGCTGTAATCTAGGATTGGGTGCATCATATGACAAGGCGACAAGACTTTTGTCTTGCCAAAATCTGACCTTTCTGTGTTCATTAAATGATCAATCTTTCTTCAGTGAAGCAAATTTATTTTAGTATATTGAGCATAATTTGGGAGGGTTTTAGCTTTCATATGAGACATTTCTAAAACCAATTGATTAATTTAAAGTCAGGTTATAAGCTTTTGTTTCTACAAAATGGATAAGCGACAAGACTTTTGTCAGGGACTGTACTGTGGGGCCAGTCCATTCAAAGCTTTAAAAACAAATAATACAATTTTAAAATCAATTCTAAAATTAACAGGAAGCCAGTGCAAAGACGCAAGGATTGAGGTAATGTGCTCTATTCTTTTGGTTCCTGTTAAAAGTCGTGTTGCAGAGTTGTGGACTAACTGTTGTCAGTAAAGTGTGTTTTGTGAGATGACGGAATAAAGTGCGTTACATGCATGACTTGTTCAAAAAGTCAAAAAGATAAAAAAATGTTTGACTTTAGATAAAAGCCGCAAATGACAAAAACTTGATTTTAAAACACCATTAAGGTTTTTAATCCATTTAGTCCATTAAAACAACAGCAGAAGAGTGGTTAGCCAGGTTTTATTTCTGCAGGTACATGGCAAGTTTTGTGTGAAAGTGTCTTCATAATCTAAACGTATTTGTGAACTTTTTGTCCAGAAGTTACTTAGCAATTTAAATTGTGATGGACAATGTCAGAGATTAAACAAATCGTAAACTCAGGCTAAAGAGATAAGTGCAACGAGAAGTAACAGGTGAGGCAAATGAGACAGGACAAGAGACAGATGTGAATTAAACTATAAGGAGATAAAATGGAGGAAGCCTGACAGGTAATTTAGTGATAACAATCCTCCAGCTTAGCAAACCGTGTTACATATCCAAACTCATTAGAACAGCTTTAGCGCTAAAAGCAAACGCTACCTCGACACTCCGACCCTAATTCTCGAAAAAGACCAGGATGTAGGCCACCAGCTGACCCCTGGCTGACGGACCAATGATACGGCTGTGTTTTTCTCCCTGTCAGAATGTGTCCAAGATAAAAGGGCATGGCTCCATGGTGAACGATTCCACCAGATCTGTTCCAGTCGACCATAATTACATCCTTTCATGGACATGTCTGCCTGATCTGTATGTGCGGCCGTGCTAATGAGGACACTGTAAGATGGAGCTGCAGATAGCCAATGTAAAGATGGAGGCTACTTTTACTCAAGCGAATTTCTTTACATTTTTGATGACAATGTACTTTCTGAATGCGTAAAACTGCTGCAAGGTGCTTTAGCCTCTTGCAAAATTCTATTAAAAGAACAGGCCTGAATCGAGACACAGTTGGTAAAATACAATTTGAAGATTTTGCGTAGTTGGCAATACATGTGATCTATAGCCAGGATTAAGGTTATAATATTTGTAGTTGTAGTAGTTTCTATTGCAGTAGTAGTCGTCATTGTGGTTACCATGGTGGAAGCATGGTTAGGTATACTGTACTTTACATTTTTGTATCTTAAAAAGACCCATATTAGTCTATTTTCAGATCTATGTTATAATGTTCTATCCTCATTAAAAACATATATAGAGTTGTCTTTTGTTTCATTTACACATGTTTAACACACAAATCCTGCATATTTAGGCTGAGTTAATTTCTCAAACAGAAAACACTTTATGTTGGTGTAGACAGACAAATAAAACTGGGTTACTTAACATTTATGAGTGAAACAAAACACAACTCTACTGTAACATGGCTTAAAGCTCTAAGAGTAACAAAGGACTTTTAAATATTCAAAGCAGATTCTAATATTCTAGTTAAATGGTTAGATCTGAGTCTATTTTAATAGTTATTTATCTCTTTAACTGGCATATTTTCTATTGGAGTTGACCCATCTTTCAATTACTGAGGCAGAAACAGCAAATATGCACTGCCTAGGGACCCGTAAACAGATCTCCAGCCAAAATCTTGGTCTGGAATACCTAGCTGGAGAACACGCTCTACTAGCTTTTGTAGGTTGATGCATTAAACCTGAGAAAACCACACCACAGTGTGGAGAAATCACACCTACACCAAAAAGCCTCACATAATCCAGAATTCGTAAATATATATACATATTATTTGGGATCATTTGAGTTCCTCTGTACCTTCCTGGCGTGTCTCCGTTCTCATCAAAGTAAATTTCCTCCCCTGACACGCCCCTGAAGGAGGTCTTGAGCAGGTAGTCCAACAGTTTGCTGCCGTCGATGGGGTTCATGGCGTCACAGAGGCCGGGCTGACCTGGACACAGTTCCTTGTGCATGTCGTGGAGGCCATGAGCCATGGCGTAGATTGCATTGATCACAAAGCCCATTTTACTGTCCTGCACATAGTTCTCCTGGAGGCTCTCGTTACCTACAGGAGAAAAGCATCAGAGTTTAACATATGAGCGTGTAAATATAAATATAGTCCTATGCACATTTGGGAAAATTCTCAACTTTACATTCTATGTTTTATGCCAGATGCCCTTCATCTGCATTTACCAACACTTTGGATCAAGATCTTGTGGCTCACTAAATATGTGTATTTCTTTATTTATAGGTGTTCTGGTCCAACATATTTATAAATATATACAGTATATATATGAATATTATCACAACTATAATTATTAACAAGCACATTCCATTTAATATTATTTTTTAAAGGTGCACTATGTAACTTTTCTGGTGGAAGTTACACCACCTACTTGTCTCCATGGAGATACTGTTGCTATATCTAGAATGTTCCACAGTACGGAACTAAACATATTTCCATGAAGACAAGCAGGTGACATGAGTCACAGATCAGTTTTTCAATGTGTTTTAAGCAATAAAAGATGACTAAATGAAATAAATGCTGATAAGATAAGAAATAGATTTAATGCCATTCTGTGGAACAAGCCAGCCAAAGCACTAACATCATCATGGAAACAAGCAGATATAGTGGATCAACAACCACAAAAGTTACATAGAAGCACCTTTAAAGCTATTTTCACCCATATTGTAATCATAATGTATAATTATGGTAAATGGTCACATTTTTCTATAGCGCTTTTCCACCTTCAAGGCACTCAAAGCGCTTTACAACAAGGAACCATTCACCCATTCACACACCAGTGTACACAGACACTGTGGGCAAGGGGGGGTTAAGTGTCTTGCCCAAGGACACAACAACAGCATTCATCTGTGGGAGCTGGAATCACACCAGCCAACCTGTGGGTTAGTGGATCTGATCGCTCAACCTATGATGTTTATGTTGAGAGCTGGATTCGAACCGCCAACCTTTAGATCAGTGGGCGAATGCTCTACCAACTGAGCTACTGCTGCCCCTAATTATAGTAATAATTATTTTTTTTTTTTTTAAATCAACCCAAGAAGCTTAAGCAGAGTATAATTTTTGTGCACAGTTTTGAGTTAAACATATAGCAAGTCGGTAATTTCTAAAATAATTGCATAACACAAAAACTGAAGTAAATTTTTATCAAAATATAAAATGAATATACAGTATGAATTATGAATTAGAATATACTGTCTATCTGCAGCTAAGAATATTGTCAGTGCTGTTCATGAATCTCATCACATAATCCCTAATGCAAAAGTGTCACTTGCAATACCAAACCTTCCTTATCAAATACTAAAAGATCCCCAGATTGCCTTTGCCATGCCTTCAGAGTAAACCTGAACTACACCCAGTGTGCTTAAATCGTGGTATATCTCCGACATGCATGCACACACACAGAACACAGAGGGAGGTGTGATCTGTCAGGACGCAGTGTGCCAGGTGAGCCATTCCTCTCTCTTAGCTCTCATACAGTATAAATAAGCTCCGTGCTCCACAGAAGACTTTGACGGATGCTGTTCCCTCTCACTCTGACAGAGATTAGCACATCCAAAAACATTACAGAGGGAGCCGTGTGCCGCATCAGTCAAAGCCACAATATTATAATAGAGCTGACTTGCAAGTGCAGGTGTAAGGATGTTTTGATAGCTGGGAGAAAAATGCACTTACCACCCCGAAGGTCTTTGGAAATAAGGGACATTTGTAAATAGGTGAGATGTGAGATTAATACAGAAAGCTTTGTATCTGAATTGTTACAGCTACTGTAAGTAAAGTCAATTCTGAAAGCATTGGGCCAAATGCAAATCTTATCAAACAATTTTATTCACAACAGACCATAACTGAATGCAAGTTTAATTACTACTATTATGTACTGGTTTAACATTTAAATTTAAGAAAAACAGCTAATATTTTACCAATAAATAAACAGAAACTGGATCAAGTAAATAAATAAGGACTTTAAGCTTGGATCCCCTGTGTATGGTGAATTGTGAATAAATGGGAGATTTGCACACCATTATTTTCAAAATTTTCTCATAATTGGGTAAAGTGTAATTAATGTTTTGATAGAATTTGAATGTAATCTGAATTGATTCAGCAAATTTGATATAGATTATCTCTGAATAATTTACCATGATCACCTTGAAAGCAAGAAGAAGAGAGAATAATGAAAAGAAACAAGACATGGATGTTAGGTTATTTTAGCATAACCTTGTGCTCTGTAAACAGCCTTCTCTGCAGACTTACCAGAGCAGAGCCTCTTGTAGTTCTTGTTCTCCTGGGGGTGTCCAGCCAAGCGGCACTGAAAGCGGTACTGCCAGAATTCAGGGAACCAGGGGTTTCTGGTGTTGGTGTCCAGCCTCAGTTTGAGATAGTAGTCATCAAAGGACTTCACCACCTCCGACTGGAGCTTTATGGTGATGCCTCCTTCTGCCTCCTGTTCATATCCTTCCACCACTTCATAGCGGTCGGCCCATCCATCACTACAAAAATAGCAACAGAAAGGGAAAAGTGTTTTAAGCAAAAATACTGTGAACTGTAAGATTGCTGTAAAGATTGCTTTGCCAGGAACGGTCAATCATATTAAAGGTGCACTAACTTTGTACCTTTTTCCTGTACATAACTTTGATTTAATAACTTGATTTGATAAATACATACATTAAAAATCCGTATTTGCTTTGCCTGGAATGTCCCACTACAAAGCATTAAACATACCTTGTATTTATTCAATTACAGCCATTTTGATTTCTCAAAAATACCTTAACAACACTTTCTTACTGTGACCTGTGTGGCTCACCTCTCCACTAATCTGACTTGTAACTTTGTCTGACTGGTGGTCTACATGCAGGTACATTTAATGCCGTACTGTGGAACATTCTGAAAAGGAAAAGACAACTCCAAGCTTAGAGTCTAGCAGGTGGCAGAACCTCTACCCAAAAAGTTACACAGTACACCTTTAGTCTTGATATAACAGTTTAACAAATTTGAAATGAGTTTGTAATAAGAAAATTAGATCTGTCCACCCATAGTCATTCATGAAGTTATCATTAAAATACAGATCATACAATGTGTCAAGTGATAACACAAGCAAATTCCATCAAAGGAAGAACAGTACAGTATCAGACAGGTAAAGTACTTCTAGATCAACATCAAATTAGTGTATATAGTTTGACTAGTTAAACCTTAGAGTCCTGAATTGCTCATATTTGTCAGATGAAAATCCCTTAGTCCCTCCACTAGGAACTGCAGCTTCAGGAAACGCTCTTGGCTTCCTTGTTTGTTTATGAGTAACTCTTTGTGTCAAGCCTCTCTCCAAAGCAAGCTAAATTGGACCCTTAGCTGGCCCACTGAATGCCCTGCTGAAGTAGAAACAAATTAGGGAGGAAGACGTCCAGCTCGAGCGTGGTCTGAAAGGGGCTGAGGTGCGCACTCTCTCTGCCTCCGTGGCTTTGAAATACAGCGAGTATTGACAGCTACACTGCAATTAGGTGTGACTGGGGCAAGGAACCAATTAGGGCTCACACATGGGATATCCAGGTGATGGATAGGAATGTGTGTGCGTGTGTCTCTGCTTGTGTGTCTGCTTGCGTGCATGTGTGTGTGGAGGTCAATTTGCTGACCTTTGCATTCACAATTAATGCCCGTCAACAAATAAGAGACATTTTTGTATAGAAAGCAGCTCTAGTGCAGTTTATACTTATTAACAAACTACAGTAAATAACTGCTTAGATTTTCTATTACCAGGACCGGATGTAAAAGATGCACTCTGTAACTTTTCTAGTGGCAAGTCAGCCAATTTGTTTAATTGAGAGGTTACTGTTTTGCCTGAAATGTTCCACAGTATAGCATTAAACTATCTTGCACATATTCAGCTTTTAGTCCTGGAAAAAAGAAAAGAAAGTAAAAACATGCATTCTTGATATGCGTGGGATTGCAGCTCCACAGATCTTAATTTGGCCTGGTGCATCACATTGTCTCAATTATGTTAGATAACTTTAATGCCATACTGTGCAACATTCTAGGCAAACTAAGAAGCAGGGAGACCCTCCCCCAGCCAGATAGATCTTGATAATTTAGAGACATTAGACATACCTCAAAAAGGACATGGCAAAACATCAAATATGACGAGGCGGTCTGAGTAAGAGTTATCATCTTTTGGATTCAAGACAAGATTTATGGCATGAGACAAATCTATTCCTTATTTGATGCTTTTGGAAGTGGAAGCATTAAATTATTCAACCTAAAATCTCCCCTCCCCCCTGTCTATATTTGTACAGTACCAAAGCAGAGCGCTGAGTCACTTGTTTCCCCCTAATTGAGTTTAGACTTGAGGACACGTGAATCGCATTGGGGACAGTCACATTTCACTCATTGGCCCTGACTGAATACTGTCTCTGTCCTCACACTGACCACACAAACACTAGCACTTCTGGACTTAGCTGCACCTTATCTAGAATATGAATGCATTAACTGTGGTCAGACCTATTTTATGCATTCCGACAATATCCAGTCCACATGAAAAATGCACGCCACTGTTCATATAAGTAGCTGTATAGTCTGGACTAGCACAAACCCAAAAATAATTAGGTCAACTTATTTAAAAAATTAGCAGACTTCCCCCATCTTTACCCGGCCTATTTTAAGAACGTTTTATGTAACATTAATCTAATAGAGTTTACGGTATACCACATTAGCTGCTATTATTGTCTTCATGAAAAAAATTGAGAAGGTGTTAAGTGTTAAACAATGAGCAGGACACCTCATTGCAGTTTCAAAATACCATATGGTGTAAGCGGTGAGGATTGCTGGAGGCTTAAATAGTACAGCATAACAATAATAAAGCATGCAATGACACTTGAGGAGTAAGACAGAGGGAAATATTATTTAAAGGTCCTATATTATGCAAAATTGACTTGTGTGAGCTTTAAGTCATGTTATAATGTTACCTCATTAAAAACCATACCTGAAGTTCTGTGTTGTTTCATTTACACGTTTGAGTAATCCTTTTTTATTAGTCTGTCTACATTTCCAAAGCTCAAAATGCTCTGTTCCACCTTGTGATTTCACAAAAGCGGTAGTTTTCAAGTTAACACGTACATTTTCAGTAGAGATTGGCAATTCCAGGGCTGAAATTATCCAAATTATTCTAGTGAAGGTGTATGGAGATGGCACAGACTGGCAGCCTCGCTTCAGTCAGTCTACCCCAGGGCTTAAACTACCAAGAGTGAATGAATAATGCATTTAAAGAGGTCTTGAAATGGGCAATAGAAATCCAAATCCCATTATAATTTTGCTGTTTCTTGTATTAGGACATATTGCTGGGTTTCAGATGACACCTCAGCATTCTATTAGCTATTTAATACTGATGTGGCAAGTAAAATGAATGTTGCTCAAATGTTCAGATTTATTTATTTATTTAATTATTTATTTATTTATTTGCCTTAAAGTAACTAATAGGAATAAAAAGTTTCAATATTTGTGAATTTTACTTTTAGATATTAAAGGTCCTATATTACTCAAAATTGACTTGTGTGAGCTTTAAGCCATGCTATAATGTTACCTCATCAATAAACATACCCAAAGTTGTGTTTTGTTTCATTCACACATGTTTGAGTAATACTTTATTTTTAATCTGTTTACATCTCCAAAGCTTATAATGCTCTGCTCCACCTTGTGAAGTCATGTATACAGCTGGGTATCATTAAGAAGTTGCCAATACGATACATACCTTGATACAGTGCACTTTCGGTTCAATACGATATATTTCAAATTGATTCAATACGGTTTAATAAAAATAGTTGACAAAATTATGGTTGTGATACAAAAAGTCTTTGTTAAACCACTTCTTTGTGCAAAGTTAATATGAAACACACCCATTTTAATCATCAAAACAGTGAAAATGTCAAATGTGTTGCATAAATGAGTTTCCTTCCTCTAAACAAGCAACAAAACTGTAGCTGTAACAAAATAACTTTGTAAAATATGCCAAAAATACTCTTGCCAGTATATCAATGCAGCAGTCCCCGATATCGATACTGTATCATCACATTAAATGATACGATATATATCAATATTTCGATATTTTTACACACCCCTAGTCATGTAATGGTAGTTTTCAAGTTAACAGCTACATTTTACCTTTAGTTCAGTAGAGGTTGACATTTCCAAGGCTGAAATTGTCCAAATGATTCTATTGAAGTAGTATGGAGTTTAAAAACACAGTGGAGCAAGGTGGAAGTGTGGAGGAGTGTTTTCTGTTTGAGAGAAGAACTCAGCCTAAATATGCAGGGTTTGTGTGTTAAGCTTGTGTGAATGAAACAGAACAAAACAAGGAAAGAACATTACAACATAGATCAGAAAATTTCATAATGAGAGCCCTTTAGGAAATTATTAATCAAACCAATCAACAGCAAAAACATTCTAGTAGTACTGTACATCCCTTAACATGCCTTCATTAATCTGTATTTTGACGCCATTACTCGTACATGTGAACACAGCTGTGCCTGCCATATGCTCGCTGTATTTTGATGCCTGCTCGACACTTGATTACATGTGACATTGTTTTCTACGGCGACAACATCTGGATAATTTATTCCACAGTGGGACCGAGGCAGAAGCAGACTGAGAGCTGCCACTGTCTGCGTCTGACTGGCTCCTTCCTCTTCGCTACAGCATTTGTATATTTATGAAGGAGCCATGAATTAATTGGCAGGGCACAGATTTGATCACACGTGCGGTTCCCCCTGGAGGACGAGCGGGGAGAGACTTTTAAAAGAGTAAATGTATTAAGTGCAGTGGGTGTTATGGAAGATAAGTAGGTGAAAATGTGTACAGCAAATATTATTTATGTAGCGTAATGAATATTCTCCTGTTGGAAGATTTGATGAGTCACGGGCAGATGGCTGACGCTTGTTACATCAGCCCAGATGTGGAGGCTGGGGTCATTTTCTCAACAGTAAAGGACACACCTGGAATGATGAAGGTGCGAGCCCGAATTAGCCTTTTGCATTGTGTAACTTAGTATTAAAAACATAGAGTGTAAATATAAATGGGCATTGCTAACCCGCTAGCCGCCGTGTTCCAAATGGGAAGTGAGCATGGGCGCACTTCTGGCTCCATCAACTTTGGCTCCAACTCACTTTACAGTCACCCCTCTCTCTGTAACTACTGCAGTGAGTCTAATCATTTTGGTCTTAAAATGTTCATATTAACCCGCTCTATGTGATCCTGTTTTTTTTATTTCACTATTTTGTCCGTAAAATTAATTCCTATTACTAGTATGGAACTCAGCTCCAAATTCGCTCCTATAAGTTCTAGCCTTGTGAGCTTCGTTTGACTGGAGCTGAGCGTTATAACGAGTGATTATATCATTAAAGAACCTATTCAATTTAAATTATTTTGCTAGTACACAACAATAATGAATATAACAGGCTGCACAAGTCTTATAGTGAACTAAAATGTAACATGCATTTTATAGGCTTTA